ATTTTTCAAGCGTAGCTTAGATGTAGCACAAGGCCGAAAGTAGGGGGCACCTCGTGAGGATCGAACTCAATACTCAGTCGTAATTGTTTTAGCGAGACAAGCTTGCTAACCATTACACCGCCTCGAGGTGCTCCAGAAGACTAGCATAAATGAAAGATGGTCTTCGTCAGGTTATCTTAGACAAAGCACTGCTGCTATGGCTGCGCTACAAGTGTTTCCCTAGAGCGCTCAAAGGGCTACAGGCCTAGTGACGTGACGAATTACCGTCGGCACGAGTGTTCGTTTTAAATCATGCGCGTTGTTGTAAGTCATGAATGGCACCATCGTACGAGCTTTTGTTTAGCCTGAATCGATATGAGCCTTTATTTTTACACAATAATTGTTACGTGTTTTTGAAATTCTGCCACTTTTGTTAAAGCACTCAATAATATTTTGTGACGGCACTCTTGCGAAAAGCATGAAACCAAACTTTCTTGAAGGGAGAATCATGTCTTGACTATGGTTTCTCTTTGCATCTAGTTGTAAAGCTGAAAAAGGAAATTAAGCTAATTTAGCGCCATTTTTTTTTGGTTATGAATTATAAAAGATTAGATGATAATTACAACAATAATTATCCGAACCGGGTTACAAAAGACGACGGAAAATGTAACATAGAAATACGAAGGCGCAAATGAATAGCGAAAGTGCCTTCCGGAAACTAAGTAAAGTATTAAGCGATAGAAAAATGTCCTTAAAAACAAGGAACTGCTATGTTATATCTCCAATATGGTAGTGAATGTTCCTCAAAGATAAAAAGAGACTTGAAGCGGAAGAGATATGCTTCTACCGGCAAATGCCAAGAATACCATGGACAAAGTATTTGAGCAGCAAAGGAGACTTAAAGGAAAATAAAAATAAGAAATCTCATATTTGCAATCAGATGGAATTTCTGTGATACATAATGAGGAAAGGGGACTTGGAGAATTTAACACTCACACGATATATTGAAGGCAGGAGGATCAAGAATAAACCGTATGCAACCTACTTGAGTTTGTGTGAATGGATTCTAGAAGAAGTTCAAAGAGTGATGGTAAATGAGTAAAAGTTATAAGACAGGATGATGTAGTGGGTTGTGATCGCCCACTTCCAGAACGGACGTGTCAAATAAAAGACCATCGTCTTTGTTGCTTGGATAACAACATTTTTGTTGCCGTCCAGCCCTCTCGCTATCAAGATATGAAACGAACACTTGTAATTATTCCATGAATAATACAGAGTTGAGTAAATACGACTATTTATCCGCTACCCATGACCCACCCAAAAGTTTTCAAATTAACTCTCCGCATGGATTTCAGATGACATATTATTTTCTCCTTCTTATCATTCTTATTATTATTTCACGGAGGTAAATCAATAAACCCTTAGTCAAATAAGGATACAAAAAACATTTATTTTCCAGCATTTATTTTTTAAGTAACTGCGTTTTTCGTGAATGCGTTTAACCCATTACTGCCCACGGTATTAATGATACAAATAAAAGTCTGATATTAATTGTAGGCCTTTAAAAGTATCCTGTGTTAATAAATCATGATGAACGCCGTCGCAAAACAATATTTTGTTACGGCTCAATCGATATGAGCTGAAGTCAAAAGAAACAAGATAGTTTGGTGAAGAGAAGCTTACAAGTGCATTTTATAAGGGATTGTTTAGTGTCTTTGATATTCTGTCACTTTTCTTAAAAGAATAATATTCTGTATCAAAACGCTTAGGAAAAGCATGAAACAAAATTTCCCTGTGACTGCACCACAATGATATCTTGTTTATGGCTCTCAGGAAGTTGACTATCAGATATTAAAATGTCTGATAGTCAACTTCCTGAGAGCAACTCCCTGCGTCTGCTCGGTCTCACGTTGACTGCTGACCTGAGATGGAACAAATACATTGAGTCAATTGCTTCTTCCACCGCGAGGAAAGTTGGCTCTCTGTGCCGCGCCAGGAAAATTTTCTCCCCGGAATCGATACTTCAAATATACAAAACAACCATTCGCCCTTGCATGGATTATTGCTGCCATATATGGTCTGGGGCACCTTATGTTTACCTCTGAGTTCTTGACAAGATCCAGAGACAGATATGTAATATAATTGGCCCTGATCTGGCATCTCGTCTACAGTCACTCTCTCACAGACGCGCCGTCGCCTCTCTCTGTCTTTTCTACAAATACTTTCATGGTAATTGCTCCGATGAGCGGATTTCACTGGTTCCCAGACTCCATGAATTCAAGCGCCCTACGAGGCTGGCATCCCGCTCCCACCCTTATACTGCAGAATTTTTAAATGTAGCCGTCTCTTCTACTCCAATAGCTTCATACCTCGCACCTCTCGCCTGTGGAACACCCTTCCCTATTACTGTTTCCCTGAGAGCTATAATCTCCAACTATTCAAATGTAATGTCAATCGACACATCCAGTTACATTGATCTACCCACTATACTTCTCCTCATCCTTTCATCTATCACTCCTATCACTTCGCTCCAAATCTTCTGCAACCACCTGCATCCTAGTGGCTTCACGCCTTGCTCGGGGGGTAATGCTAAAAAAAAAAAAAGAAAGGAAATTAAGCTAATATTGGGTCATTTTTTGCTCTGAGTTATAAAGGGTTAAAAAATATTTACTACCATATTTATTTTAAGAGTGTAATAAGAGAAGACGGAAAATGTGAAAAAGAAAGCCAAAGGTGCATATGAATAAAGAAAGGTGCCTTCCAGAAACTAAGCAGACAGGAAAAATACCTTAGACATAAAGAAACAAATGCTGGACTATTACGTAATATCAAATGTTGTGTACCATCAAGAAATCAACTTCGTGATGAATCAACCACGTCCAAGTCGATAACATCAAGAAATCAACTGCGTGATGAATCAACCACGTCCCGGTCGATAACATCAAGAAATCACCTTCTCGATGAATCAACCACATCCAGGTCATTAACATCAGGAAATCACCTGCCCGATGAATGAACCACGTCAAGGTCGATAACAGTAAGAAATCACTTTCTGGTGAATCAACCACGTCCAGGTCGATAACATCAAGAAATCACCTTCCCAGTGAATGAACCACGTTCAGGTCTATAACATCAAGAAAACATCTTCCCGTTGAATGAACCACGTCCAAGTCGAAAACATCAATAAATCACCTGACTGATGAATCAACCACGTCAAGGTCGATAACATCAAGAAATCATATCCGGATGAATCAACCACGACCAGGTCTATAACATCAAGAAAAAAAACTTCCCGATGAATGACCCACGTCCTGGTCGATAACATCAAGAAATAACCTGCCCGATGAATCAACCACGTCAAGGTCGATAACATCAAGAAATCACTTCCTGATGAATGAACCACGTCCAGGTCGGTAACATCAAGAAATCACCTTCCCGATGAATGAACCACGTCCAGGTCGATAACATCAAGAAATCACCTTCCCAATGAATGAACCACGTCCAGGTCTCTAACATCAAGAAATCACCTGTCCGATGAATCAACCACGTCCAGTTCGATAACATCAAGAAATCACCTTCCCGATGAATGAACCACATCCCGGTCGAAAAGATCAAGAAATCACCTTCCCGATGAATGATCCACGTCCAGTTCGATAACATCAAGAAATCACCTTCCCGATGAATGAACCACGCCCAGGTCGATAACATCAAGAAATCACCTGCCCGATGAATCAACCACGTCAAGGTGGATAACATCAAGAAATCTCCTTCCCGATGAATGAAGCACGTCCAGTTCGATAACATCAAAAAAACACCTTCCCGATGAATGAACCACGTCCAGGTCGATAACATCAAGAAATCACCTTCCCGATGAATGAACCACGTCCAGATCGATAACATCAAGAAATCACCTGCCCGATGAATCAACCACGTCAAGGTAGATAACATCAAGAAATCACTTTCCCGATGAATGATCCACGTCCAGTTCGATAACATCAAGAAATCACCTTCCCGGTGAATGAACCACGTCCAGTTCGATAACATCAAGAAATGACCTGCCCGATGAATGAATCACGTCCTGGTCGATAACATCAAGAAATCACCTGCCCGATGAATCAACCACCTCAAGGTCGATAACATCAAGAAATCACCTTCCCAATGAATGAACCAAGTCTAGGTATATAACGTCAAGAAAACACCTTCCCGATGAATGAACCATGTCCATGTCGGTAACATCAAGAAATCACCTTCCCGATGATTGAACCACGTCCAGTTCGATAACATCAAGAAATGACCTGCCCGATGAATCAACCATGTCAAGGTCGATAACATCAAGAAATCACTTCCTGGTGAATGAACCACGTTCAGGTCTATAACATCAAGAAAACACCATCCCGATGAATGAACCACGTCAATGTCGATAACATCAAGAAATCACTTCCTGATGAATCAACCTCGTCCAGGTCGATAACATCAAGAAATCACCTTGCCAATGAATGAAACACGTCCAGTTCGATAACATCAAGAAATCACCTTCCCGATGAATGAACCACGTCCAGGTCGATAACATCAAGAGATCACCTGTCCGATGAATGAACTACGTCCAGGTCTATAACATCAATAAATCACCTTCCCGATGAATCAACCAAGTCTAGGTCTATAACATCAAGAAAACACCTTCCCGATGAATCAACCACTTCCAGGTCAATAACATCAAGAAATCACATTCCCAATGAATGAACCAAGTCTAGGTCTATAACATCAAGAAAACACCTTCCCGATGAATCAACCACGTCCAGGTCGGTAACATCAAGAAATAACCTGCCCGATGAATCAACCACGTCAAGGTCGATAACATCAAGAAATCACTTCCTGATGAATGAACCACGTCCAGGTCGGTAACATCAAGAAATCAACTTCCCGATGAATGAACCACGTCCAGGTCGATAATATCAAGAAATCAACTTCCCAATGAATGAACCACGTCCAGGTCTCTAACATCAAGAAATCACCTGTCCGATGAATCAACGACGTCAAGGTCGAAAAGATCAAGAAATCAGCTTCCGATGAATGATCCACGTCCAGTTCGATAACATCAAGAAATCACCTTCCCGATGAATGAACCACGTCCAGGTCGATAACATCAAGAAATCACCTGCCCGATGAATCAACCACGTCCAGGTCGATAACATCAAGAAATCACCTTCCCGATGAATGAACCACGTCCAGATCGATAACATCAAGAAATCACCTGCCCGATGAATGAACCACGTTCAAATCGATAACATCAAGAAATCACCTTCCCGATGAATGAACCACGTCCAGGTCTATAACATGAAGAAATCACCTGTCCGATGTATCAACCACATCCCGGTCGAAAACATCAAGAAATCACTACCTGATGAATCAACCACGTCAAGGTCGATAACATCAAGAAATCACCTTCCTGATGAATGAACCAAGTCTAGGTCGATAAGATCAAAAAATCATCTTCCCGATGAATGAACCACGTCCAGTTCGATAACATCAAGAAATGACCTGCCCGATAAATGAATCACGTCCTGGTCGATAACATCAAGAAATCACCTGCCCGATGAATCAACCACCTCAAGGTGGATAACATCAAGAAATCACCTTCCCAATGAATGAACCAAGTCTAGGTATATAACATCAAGAAAACACCTTCCCGATGAATGAACCATGTCCATGTCGGTAACATCAAGAAATCACCTTCCCGATGAATGAACCACGTCCAGTTCGATAACATCAAGAAATGACCTGCCCGATGAATCAACCATGTCAAGGTCGATAACATCAAGAAATCACTTCCTGGTGAATGAACCACGTTCAGGTCTATAACATCAAGAAAACACCATCCCGATGAATGAAACATGTCCAGCTCGATAACATCAAGAAATCACCTGCCCAATGAATGGACCACGTCAAGGTCGATAACATCAAGAAATCACTTCCTGATGAATCAACCCCGTCCAGGTCGATAACATCAAGAAATCACCTCGCCAATGAATGAACCACGTCCAGTTCGATAACATCAAGAAATCACCTTCCCGATGAATCAACCACGTCATAGTCGATAACATCAAGAAATCACTCCCTGGTGAATCAACCACTTCCAGGTTAATAACATCAAGAAATCACATTCCCAACGAATGAACCAATTCTAGGTCTATAACATCAAGAAAACACCTTCCCGATGAATCAACCACGTCCAGGTCGGTAACATCAAGAAATCACCTTCCCGATGAATCAACCACGTCCATGTCGGTAACATCAAGAAATCACCTTCCCGATGAATGAACCACGTCCAGTTCGATAACATCAAGAAATGACCTGCCCGATGAATCAACCACGTCAAGGTCGATAACATCAAGAAATCACTTCCTGATGAATGAACCACGTCCAGTTCGATAACATCAAGAAATCACCTGCCCGAGGAATCAACCACGTCAAGGTCGATAACATCAAGAAATCATTTCCTGATGAATCAACCACGTCCAGGTCGATAACATTAAGAAATCACCTTCCCAATGAATGAACCAAGTCTAGGTCGATAACATCAAGAAATCACCTTCCCAATGAATGAACCAAGTCTAGGTCTATAACATCAAGAAAACAGCTTCCCGATGAATCAACCACGTCCATGTCGGTAACATCAAGAAATCAACTTCCCAATGAATGAACCACGTCCAGTTCGATAACATCAAGAAATGACCTGCCCGATGAATCAACCACGTCAAGGTCGATAACATCAAGAAAAAACTTCCTGGTGAATGAACCACGTCCAGGTCTATAACATCAAGAAAACACCTTCCCGATGAAATAACCATGTCCTGCTCGATAACATCAAGAAATCACCTGCCCGATGAATGAACCACGTCGAGGTCGATAACATCAAGAAATCACTTCCTGATGAATCAACCCCGTCCAGTTCGATAACATCAAGAAATCACCTGCCCGATGAATGAACCACGTCCAGGTCGATAACATCAAGAAATCACCTGTCCGATGAATGAACCACGTCCAGGTCTATAACATCAATAAATCACCTGCCCGATGAATCAACCACGTCAAGGTCGATAACATCAAGAAATCACTCCCTGATGAATCAACCACGTCCAGGTGGATAACATCAAGAAATCACCTTCCCAATGAATGAACCAAGTCCAAGTCTATAACATCAAGAAAACACCTTCCCGATGAATCAACCACGAC